AGGGAAAGAATTTGATATTTTCTATTTCCAAAAATTGCTCAGTCCTTATAGGGGAAAAATAGAACTGTGCTAGCCTTTCCTGCCTTTATTTTATGGGTTAGTGTTGGTTTTGAAGTGTATGTCAGGTGGGTCCCCGTGTTTGTCTGTTTTTAGTGTTTGTGGCCTCAGTGCCTAACTGGCTGGCCACCCACCCACCCATGTTCCTGCCTGTCCACTTGCCTATCTTTTCACCCACTCACTAGCTCATCCACTGGCCCTTCTGCTGTCTCCCCAGATCCCCCTCCTCCCCTCTCCCACCCCTCTTCCCATCCCCTATCCATCTAGCCACCTGTCTCAGTTTGCTCAAGCTGCCATAGCAAAACACCCGAGTCTGGGGGGCTTAGGCCAAAGACATTTATGTTCTCAGTTCTGGAGGCTACAGATCTTAAGATCAAAGTATTGGAAGGGCTTGGTTTCTCATGAGAAATCTCTTCTTGGCTTTCAGACAGTTGCCTTCTCATGGCTGAGGGAGGGAGGGAGGGAGAGGGGTGAGAGAGAGAGAGAGAGAGAGAGGAGATCTCTTTCTCTTCTAATAAGGCCACCAATCCTGTTGGATCAGGGCCCCATCCTTATGACCTCATTTAGCCGTAATGACCTCCCAAAAGCCCTGTCTCCAAATATAGTCACATTGGTGGTTAGGGCTTCAACATATGAATCTGGAGGGGACACAGTTCAGTCCATAGGGTCACCCCTCCCCCTCCCATCTACCCTCCCATCCATCCCCACCCCTCCCCACCCCCTTTCCATCCACTCATCCATGCAGCCCTCAGGCATTGTTTATTGCTTCTTCTCACAGGAGGCCACTGGTCACCTTTCCGGCTTTTTCTGCCGTGGCCTTTCTGTAGGAGCTGCTGTGTTTGGTGTCCTCTGGACCTACTGTGAGCTTTCTGCTTCTCCCAGGCCGACTGCAGCCAGAGTTCCGGAGCACGTGGCCCACTGGCCCTCCTGCTGTCTCTCCTCCCCACTCCCATTTCTCTTCCCATTTTTCTGGCCACCCACCCCTTATCCACTACTCATCTCCCCCTCCCCCCTCCCCCTTCTCCTGTCTGTCCCACGATCCCAGCTGCACGAGAAAGGCAGACACTTCCCACATCCTCCGGCTCCCGTGACCCCAGCCTGGTGGGGCCTTTCCAGAGAGCGGGTGGGGAGAGAGGCATCCGGTCCCAGCCTCCCTCCACTTAGCCACTATGACCGGGAGGAGGGGCGCCCTTTGCCCCACGGCCCTGCAGTGACTGAGGGTGGCTGAGCACCTCCTGCCGCTGTGGTGGGAGGGGCATTTTGGCGGAGTTTTATTGACCTTGTGCTTCCGGGCAGACAAGAGAGGAAAAACGAAAAGCCCACAAAAACCCCTTCCTCCGTGTGTTGGGGAAATTTCTGACATTTCACCGCCCTCCCCTCCGCCATCGGCGCTCAGCTGTGTGGCAGGGCGCAGGGGCGGCTGGTGCAGGAAGGAAACAGGGGACCTTTGAAAGTGACAAGTCAGATGTCACCGAACCCCTCCTCTGGCCCAGGCCCCTAAAGCCCTTTCCAGCATCCTTGACAGCTGATCCCCAGCCCTCTGCTTACACACCCCCGGTGACGGGGAGCTCACTCGCTGCTTCATCACAGTGGCCGTGATTGACATGGATGTAGCGTGCTCCGTGCCAGCCACTGTGCTGAGCCCTTTGCCTACATATGAGCTCACTGAGCCGGATGGGGGACACGGTGCGGCTCAGGGATTTGTCCATGGTCCCGGGCCAGTAAGTGGCTCAGGTGGGGCTCGCATGTGGCCGTCTCCCTCGGGACCCCTTATTTGGTGCTGACCCCATGGCATTGCATTTGGGAGGCAGCAGAGCATATCCGAGAAGAGCCCAAACCCCTCACTCTGCACCCTGCTTCCGGGATCAGGCTCTTGCTTGGGCCCAGAGCCGCTGCCCGCAGGGAGGGGCCTCCCTGCCCAGGTGTGGGGGGGCCGTGTGAAGCCAGGCCTGGTGCCAGCTGGAGAGCACGGTGTGATGGGGGCCAAGGCAGTGTGTCCCACCTTGTGCCAGGAGCCGAGGGTTTCTGCCAGGGCGGCGAGCAGGGAGGAGGGGAGGCCGCCCTGCCCCTGGCCGAGCCTGGCTGGCCCACAGGCCCCCTCCGCGCCTGTAGGTCTCCAGGGAAACAGGAGAAACACCAGGCAAACAGCTTTCACCCCAACTCCAAAGCCCAGGACAAAGCACTGAGCGCTCCGATGAGTCCAGATGTTCACCTCCGCTCTGGTCCCCGAGCCAGGACTGCCCTGGGCCACTGCCAGGGGCAGAGGTGGGACGGGGGCAGCTCCCCAAGAAGGGCGGCCTGTGGCTGGGAAGCCCTTGCGACAGGCTGTTAGCATCTAGGGCGGTGCTGCTGGGAGTTGTGGGAACACGCTCCCGGGGGGCCTGAACTGGGTGGAACATTCAGGGGGGCTTCCTCGAGGAGCCGGCATCCCAAGGAGTCCTGAGGGCTGTGCCAGGCCACGGTGGGAGGAGGGAGGAGGGCTCTGGTCAGAGGGCACGGAGGATGCCAAGGCCTGGAGTGAGCAAGGGGGGCCAGTCAGGGACTGGGTGGGTTCCATGTGGCAGAAGCGCAGGGCCTGAAGGGGAGGGGGAGGGGAGGGGAGGGGCCTGCGGCCCAGACTCAGGGCAGTTTCCGGGGCCCCAGCAGCTGGGGTTGCCTGGCCGCCCCAGAGCTCAGCCAGAGGTGAGAGCGGTGACGGAAATGTTAGGACAGACAGACATTTGGGATCAGAGGCCGGAGCAGAGGTGGCTGGAGACCGAGGGGGACAGAGGATGATTGGGAACCAATTCTGAGAGCGACACCGCAGCTCGCAGCCTCTCTGAACCCCTTTGTTTCTGATTGTGAAAGTGATAGCGGAGAAGACCTCTGTGGGATACGGGAAAGAGGAGAAGAGAAATGAGTCAACACTCAGCGCGCTTTGGCCCCATCTGCTCCAGCCCCTGCGGCCTTCCTGTTCTCCGCTCAGGCCGAGCTGGGCCTCCCTCGGGGCCTCTGCCCGCCCAGTGCCCGCTGCCCGGAACCTCCCTGCAGCCTCCTTGCGTCCTGTGAGCCGGGTGGGGCCGCCCCCGCTGCCCCCCACCCTGTCCCCCGCTCCTGCTTTCCTCTCCAGTTTGTATCCACGTTGGGAGCGAACGTGCTGATTCCCATGTGACTCGCTGCCCTCTCTTCCCCCGGCTGGAGGGTGAGGTCCCTGGGAGCAGGGCCTCATCTTCAGTCTCTCAATCAGTGCCTGCGCCCGCCCACCTGCCCGCCCAGCCGGCCGCTCCGCAGCTGTGAGCTCAGCGGGAAAATCCCACCCCCAGATGAGTCACTCGGCCTCGAATTCTGTGCACTGAAACCATCATTCTGAGCATGTCCACAGGCGCCCCCTAGTGGCGAAGGGGCCCAGGCAATGCTGAGAACCCTGGCCTAGAGCCTTTTGGTTGTAACTAACCGAAGCCTGACTCAGGTCCAAACAAGACAAAAGAGAAACAATGGGCTCAGTGACGGAGAAATCCATGGCGCCATCGATTCGGGTTTGAATGATGTCATCAGGAGTCCATTTCTCCACGTCTGTGGCCTCTCCTGGCCTCGGAGTCACCTCCTTCTCAGGTGGACCCAGCCCGAGCTGCCGCAGCCAGGACAGGGCAGCTCTGGCCCAAATTGCCCTTCGAACCAGGAACCAGTAAAGAGGGGGCTCTTTTCCAGTAGCTTTTGTGAAACTCAGAGATGGGCTCATTGGCTGGCATGGGTCCCATGAACCAATCACAGTGTTGAAGAAGATGCATCCTGATTGGCCTGCCTGGGTCACGTGCTAATTTTGAAGGATGAAGTATTCTGATTGGTCTGCCTGGGTCATGTGTCCACGCTCAAGGATGAAGCATTCTGATTGGTCCGCGTGGGTCATGTGTCCATCATCAAGGATGAAGCATTCTGATTGGCCTGCCTGGGTCACATGCTCAGTTGAAGGGCTGTTGGTGACATCCCGGCTAGAACTCACAGACATAAAGTGGGGCAGGACAGGTGAACACCCTGTGGACATCCAGGACTTTCCCAACACATCTGCCCCGTGCATTCGGTCTCAGCATCATGCCTCTCCCATCAGGGACTGCTGGATGCTTTGCTAGCCTCTCAGTCAGGCTGGATTAAGACTATGGCTCCCTGGTTCCCACAATGCAGGGGACTCTGGGAATAATAAGGACAGTGCTCCTGCCCAGCCAGTGTGGCTCAGTGGTTGAGTGTCAGCCTATGAACTAGGAGGTCACAGTTTGATTCCCAGTCGGGCACATGTTCGGATTGCAGGCTTGATCCCCAGTGTGGGGTGTGCAGGAGGCAGTCAATCAATGATTCTCTCTCATCAGTGATATTTCTATCTCTTTCTCCCTTTCTCTCTTCCTCTTTGAAATCAATGAAAATATAGTAAAAAACAAACCCCAAACAGTGCTCACCCAGTGCCTGCTGTGTGCCTGGACTGCTGTGGGACTACGCATGCTTGTCTTCACAGTCCCTTTAATCCTTTCAATGATCCTATTATTAACTTAGTGCGCCTGCGGTCACTGTCACTTGCCCAAGGTTACTCGCTTAGCATGTGGCAGCCCTGGAATCCAGGCCCAGCTCTTCCCCCTGACCCGTGCTGCTCTGCCTGACAGGCGACCAGAGGCAAGGCCTGCCCTCTTGGGCATCAACGCCTCCGTCATGAGTTGCGCTGACATGTTGGGGGGTTTAGGAGTGTTGCTGGGAAGGGCTTCGGGGATGAGAGTGGAAGGGGTGCCCCTGAGAGTTTGCCAAGGTGGCCTGGCCTGGAGCTTCTCTGCTTCTTTTCCAGGGTCCTCCCCACAGCATCTGTGCCCGCAGGGGCCATCCGGCTGCAGGAAGCAGTGCCAGCGGGACTACTACCTGGACAGAGCCAACCGGTGCACAGCCTGCGTGAGCTGCAAAGGTAAGAGCCTGTCCTCCCCTCCAGGGCTCCTTCCAGGGAGGGGGGCGGGGCTCTGGGGCGACACAGAACCTAGAAGGTGGGGAGCATCGAGATTTGGTGACTGCACTCTGACCTGGCCCCCTGGTACCTCAGTTTACCCCTCTGGATTTGTGAATTGATACCAGCCATGACCTTTTGCGCCCATGCTTTTTGGAGAGACTTAGTTAACGTGTTTCCTCAAGGGAGGGACTCACATTTATTGAGTTTAATGTTTGCAGGACCCATAGGGGGAGATTCTTTCCTTCTCCCCGCTTTACAGTGAGGACTCAGAGGCTGAGGGAGGTTAAGGGCCTTTCCAGAGTCACACGACTCTGGTGAGGGGCCCACCTGGAGTTTGGAGTGAAGGTCTGACACCAAGAGCTTCCAGCAGAACTCTCTCAAATAAGCACCTTGTTGTGAATTTCTCATGATGCTTCATGAATGTGGTTTGTGTGCTACCTGGTGTGTGTTTTGCTTTGGTGTGGGTTTTCTGGGGGGTGGTGAAATGTGTTGTGATTCCTTGGCCTAATGAATAGTCCTATTTCTTAGCATGTTTAGTGTATTTGGATTAAAAATGTATATTCTATTTCTTCCATACAGAATTCTACATATACCTATTAGATTAAGTTTATTCATGGTATTATGGAAACAATACACATTCTTATTTAGTTTTTTCACCTTCACAAAGGTTGATTTCTGAGGTAGATGTGTTAAAATCTATCTCCTGCCCGGCCGGTGTGCTCAGAGGTTGAGCATCACGTTTGATTCCAATCAGGGCACAAGTCCGGATTTCATGCTTGATCACCAGTAGGGGGGCGTGCAGGAGGCAGCCGATCAATGATTCTCTCTCATCCTGGATGTTTCTATCTCTCCCTCTCCTTTCCTTTCTGAAATCAATAAAAACATATTTTTAAAAAATCTATCTCCCAATATGCTTGTTTTTCATCAGATTTTCCTTGTGTTCTATTTTTGCTTTGTATGTCAAAGCTGTGTCATTAGGTACAATGTTCATGAACATTATGTTTTCTTGGCAAGTTGGACCTTTTATCAACATGAAAGATACCTCTTTGTTCCTCATACTGTGTTTGCCTGGATTCCATTTTTGTTTGATACTAGTATTGCCATTCTTTATTTCTGTGAGCATTTCTCTGGTAGAGCTTCCAAGTTTTAAAACGAATGCCTGCATTTGATTAAGTGAAAGTTAATAGGTATTCTCTACCCCAAATTCAACCAATAGAGAAATGCAAGGAAGAAAGCCAACTCTGCCCCTCCCCCATCGCTGGATGATTGACACTTCTCTGTATAGAGAGAAGAACGGGTAGGCTAGTAGCTAGACTACACATACATGGAAAGAAGGAATTTTTAAAAATATATTTTATTGATTTTTTACAGAGAGGAAGGAAGAGGGATAGAGAGGTAGAAACATCGATGAGAGAGAAACATCAATCAGCTGCCTCCTGCATACCCCCTACTGGGGATGTGCCTGCAACCAAGGTACATGCCCTTGACTAGAATCAAACCTGGGAACTTTCAGTCCGCAGGCCGACGCTCTATCCACTGAGCCAAACTGGTTAGGGCAAAAGAAGGAATTTTTAAGAGGATAAGGTAATACTATCTATGGCATTAAAATGATGACATTTATTTATTTATTAACATTTATTTATTCACATTTATTGATTTTTTTGGAGAGAGAGAGAGAGAGAATTGTTGTTCACTTATGTATGTGTTCATTGGCTGATTCTTCTATGTGCACTGACCCGGGATGGGACCTGCAACCTTGGCGTATTGGGAGGATGCTCTAACCACCTGAGCTTCCTGACCAGGACCGGAACTTTTTCATCTTACCCAACTGAAACTCTGTCCCCATTAAACATTAGCTCTCAGCTCCCCCCATCCCCACCCTTTGGCAACTACCATTCTACTCTGTGAATTGAGTACTCCAGGAAGTTCACATGTATGTGGAATCATGCAGTTTTATCCTTTTGTGGCTGGCTTATTTCACTCACATAATCCTCACGGTGCATGACCTGTAGCATGTGTCAGAATGTCCTCCCCCTTAAGGCTGAACAACATTCCATTCTATGTTTATCTGCCCATGTCGATGGGCACTTGGTTGTTCCGCCTTTGAGCTAGCGTGACTAATGCTGCCGTGAGCATAGGGTCATGTATCTTTTCGATGTAGTGTTTTGGATTTCTTCGAATAAATACCCAGGAGTGGAATTTCTGGGTTATAAGGTAGTTTTATTTTCAAGTGCAGTTTTCCATAGTGGCTGCACCAATTCACAATCCCACCAGCCGGTCGTGAGGGTAGATAGGAGGTTCCCTTTCATGGCTCTGTTTCCTCTGAGAATATTGATTGTACTGACTCTACAGGCTGTTTCCCTTGTGTCTGCTTCCTCGAGCATTACTGTATGTTTGAGTCTGGGGCCCTTTCATCTTTTTTTTTTTAAATTTTGTTTTATTGCTTAAAGTGTTACAAAGAGTATTACATATGTCTCCTCTCCCTCCCCCA